CAATATTAGCTTTAAAGTGATCTGGGGAGATATTATAAAATAAAAACCAATTCGCATGTTAATTCCCTATATCCAGACTTGGATGCGGCACCCTGTATATATTAGCACTGCAGGCCTCGAGGGCCGTGGGCTTTTCTAACGATGGCTCTCCATTGGGTGCGGTCGGCTGCTTTGCTTTTCTAATCTTCGATAACCATTTACCGTAGATCCGTTTTCACGTCTTTCAACCATCTCAGTTTTGGTCGCTCTTTCTTTTCTCCCCACCTTGTAGACGGTTCAACACTTTCCCGATAGTTCTATCCTCAGATATTCTTCCTATGTGCCCTAACCATCTGATTCTTTGCACTCTAATTACCTTGGTATTTCGATTCTCCATATACTTCTTCTATTTCCCTATTTGTTCGTCTTCTTCATTGTTCTTGTTCCTTGATACCTCCATATATCTTCCGTAGTATTTTTCGTTCCCCAATCTCTAATCTCTGCTCCCATTTTTTTGTTAGAGTTGAAGTTTCGCAGGCATATAATACTGTAGGTCTTATCACCGTTTTGTACACTTGTTTCTTCGTCTGCCGTGTTACATTTTTGCTTGTAAGAAACTTGTTTAGTCTTCCTAAGTTTATACTGCCTTTCATAATGCGTTCTTCTATCTCTTCTTCCATTTCGTTCTTATCGGTAATTACTACTCCTAAGTATTTAAACTTTTTTACTTTTTCCAACTCATATGTAGTTTCATCTTCCGCAGTTATCTTCAATGCTTTTTGTGAGTCTTTTGTATTCGTCATTTTCTTTTGTTTTGTCTTCTCTTCGTTTATTGTTAGTCCCATCCGTTTTACTTCTCTGATAAGGTTAACTGTAATTTTCTTTAATTCGCTAACTGTTCTCGTTACGAACGTTAAGTCAACTGCAAATGCTAGATTCTGGTGTCTTTTATCATATCTGGTGTGTGGTCAAGGGATTCTGTTTCTTCTAATTATTACCTCCAGTGCTAGATTGAAAAGAGTGGTTGACATGGGGCCTCCTTATCGTAAACCGGTAATTTCACTCTATCGTCATTCCAGTAAGTCTAATCATCTTATTTGATATTTCTAGCTCCAACATGGCTGTCTGTAGTTCTTTCCTATTGATTATATCATAGGCTTATTTGAAGTCTATAAACAGTAGGTACAGGTTAATCCCTTGCTCGTAATACACTGCTTGGATTTCTTTTAGTATGAAATTTGATCTACAGTTGACCTGTTGTTTCTAAATCCTGTCTGGTATTCTCCTACGGCTTCTTCCATATGCTGTTTGAACCTTGTGTTTATGCATGTAGCTAGTATCTTGTAGGTTACGTCTAGTAGCGCTATTCCGCGCGTAATTTTCGCATTTTGTGTTGTCACTTTTCTTTAATATCGGGCACAGTACCGCTTCTTCCCATTGTTCGGGTATTTTTTCGCTTTTCCGACATTCTACTATCAGTCGATGTATTTCTTGCACAAATTCTTCTCTTCCATACTTCAACATCTCGGGTCTTTTTTCATTGCTGCCTGGAGCTTTGTTGTTCTTCATTGGTTTTAGTATTTCTCGGATTTCTTGTACGTCTGGCTCGCTTATTTCGTTCTTATCTTCTCGCCTATCGTTACTGAATTCGCTTATGTCTTGATCTGTGCTATGTTCGTTTAATAGTTCTTCGAGGTATTCCGCCCATCGCTTTACACTTGCTTGCTGGTCTCCTATTAAATTCCCTTCTTTATCTTTGCAATAGAAAACTTTTGGTTGGTAACATTTATTCTCTCGTTTGATATCTTGGTAAAAATTCCTTATTTCTTTCTTACATAAGTTTTCTTCAATCTGTCGTATCTGTGCTTCCATGTTCATACGTTTTTTGTTTCTGCATATTTTCTTGTAATTTCTTTTTTTTGTTCGTACTGCTTTTGATGTTCTTTTCTTGTTCTCAGGTACGTTTCTCTTGCTTTTCTTCCAGTTTCTAATGCTGTTCTACATTCATCATACGTGTTGTTCGTGTGGCTTGCTTTGAATCCTATTACGTCTTTTGTGGTAGTCCATATATTGTTTTGTAGCATTTTCCCATTTTTCTTCTAGCGAATCTGTTTTTCTGTTTTTCTTTATGCTGTCTGTCAGTTTTTGTTCGTATTGTTGTTCTATGCCCTCTTCTTTGAATTTTCTTAAATCTATGTCTCGCTGTGCCCTGTCAATTTTTCCTTTTTTGGTATTTCTTCTTCAATATGTGCTATTACTAAAATATGGTCTGTACTTGATTCACCACTTCTATAATTTCTTATGTTGGTGACTAGTTGTGCATTTCTTTTGTCTATTAATACATGATCTATTTGGTTGATCTTCTTGCCATCTGGAGATATCCAAGTATATACTTCTTTGCGTGCAAAACCTGTGCTTTTTACTATCATGCTGTTTTCCTGTGCGAATTCTATTAGCTTTTCTCCATTTTCGTTTGTTTCTTCGTGTTTACTTTCTTTCCCGATTATATGCTGTTATCTCTGCACTTTACCTACTTTGCCATTCCCGTCTCCTATAACAAATTTGATATCATATTTTGGTATTTATATGGTGCGTGTATATTTATCAGGCTGATTTTTCTATACCTGCTTCAGTCTCAGGCAGCACAATTTTTCGGACATTAGTTTGAACGTGACTACTATTTTAGGTTCTTTCTTACGAGGAATCCTGTTCCTAGCATTCTGTTCGCGTTCCCACTGTTGAAGAATATGTAATTCCCTATTTCTGTTATGCTGTTACCTTTTTGTTTAGTCTTTTGTATCGCTGCTGTAGCTATGTCGTACCTTTGTAGTTCTAATGTAAACTGTCGTAGTGCTCCTTCTTGGAACGTTTCTTGGACATCCCATGATGCAATCTTAAGTTTTTGGCTTTTCTTTTCTTTATTCTTTAATTCGTTTTCCGTATGCTTTGCGTGAGTCGTCATCCTTTTCTGGTGTTTATTTGTTACTTTATGGGCTAATCGTTTTTTGAGTTCTCTTCCCCTGAGTGTATCAGCTTTTTATATTCGACTTTAGTCTCCCTCCGCTTCGCTTTTTCTCCGGCCGCTATCACCCTTATATTCTTTTATATCTCGCTTTCTCTCTTCATGTAATCCTCCTCTATGAGTATCTCTGTTTCTTTTATGTAGTTTGCTTTTTTGCTTCATAATGGTTCGTTTCCTATCCCAGCTTTATTGTTCTATTGACGTGTCCTTGTATTTTCTCACCTTTAATTACAATATTGTTCTTTCTTTCAATTTTTTCTGCCTTTTTTACGTATTTTTCTACTCTCTGCAATCTTTCTTTCAATTCTTGGTTTTCTTTGCTTAATATTTGTATCTCCTGCTTATATGCTAGGCGGCCCAGTGGTTTGGTGTATTATGACTAGAGTAATCCTATTGTCATAAAATTCAGCCAAAAATGTATTATAGCTCCAGCTTGTGTGAGCAGTAGCACCATCGTGCTGAAAGTAACCATAAACTAACTCATGATTTAAAAAAGGACTTAAAATTTCGTTTCGGTATCTTCTTTGAAAACATCATTTATCTTATTGTTAAAACACTAAGAAACTCTTTATTATAAAAAAAAACCGGTCCAATAATTCTTGCTTTGACTAATCGTAGCCCAAACATCGACTCTCTGAGGATGTTGGGGCAACACATTGAAAAAATGTATTTTGCTATACTTTTGTAGTTAAGATATTTTAAGTTACTTTCTCGCTGGTCATAAATGTTGGAACCCACTGTATCTAATTTCTAAATTTCTTTGCGGTTTTACATGCATTCTTGCGGGCACAGAACGACAGTTTTGGTTTTTTTCAGGTGCTTAAAATAGATGAAATTGTCTATGATTCAAAATGGTACGAAATAGAAACGAATTCGTTCAAGAAATGTTTAACACTTATTACCTGTAGAGCACAAAAACCTATGGTATTTAGTGCCCATGGATTGGTTAATATAAATCTTAATACTTATGTTTTGGTAACGTTTTATTAAAAGGTTAATTATTTCTTTATATGTCTGCATGTTTTTAGATTTGTAAAACTGTTTTCAGTTTCTATACATATTTAAATACATTCAAAGAATTTTCAACAAATCAATAACCTATCAATTTATCACAGTAGAAAACATTGCAACAGTAGGATGGAGGGTACTATGATTATGGAATACATATAACAAGTTGGGAAATATGTTAATACTCGTCCTGTAGGAAGTCAGTGTTTAAATGCTACATAAAATCACTACTGTAATAAATAGTTAATTAAGTCACCTAAAAGAGTAATAAATAACATTCAATATTTATGTTCTTATTATGTGTTATATCTATTAACTTCACTGAGACGTGGTTATAAGTCTTTTAGAAGTTGCTTTACACACAGTGTTACCACCTACAACATACAACTAAAAATAAAAATGATCTAGGACTGCACTACCAAGGAACTGAAAAGTGTAACATTGATGTTTTCTTGAGTTTAAACTCTTACGTAGCATTCGGGAAAGGAACAAGTGATCTATATATCCATCTGGTATCCAATTATTCCTTGCAAACAATACGCCCCTCCCCTTGTGTTCGTCATCGATATCACTTTCAAAGAAATATATCAAGCATCTGACAAAGTATTCATTTAAATAATGATGAAATTACAGCAATTTTCAAAACTATTACTGCAGATTCCAAGTTCTCATGAATAATATAAAACGCAAACCAATTATTATTAATATGAAAATGTCTCGTTGAATGAAATTAATAATTCATTATCTTTAGAATGTATTCTAGTGTAATTCTCTTTTGTTTCAAAACATTTCGGCGTCTTTAAAATGTAGGAGTAATATTTTACTTCCATCATCGGTAATTTTCAATTTATGTTTTATTAACTACAATAAAAAAATGTAGTAGTTAATTTAACAGCGCATGTTTGGTTGTTGGTTGCTGGTTGTCTCTAAAAGCATAAATGTGAAAACTCGATAGAATATTGCAGTGTTAGCTAAGTAAGAAGTCAGATATCTGGTGTTTGTCGTCGAACGAAGAGAACAAAATCTGATCCAGATGCATTCTGATCTGAAATCGTAAGCTATCGATATTTAAATTTTTTTACGTAAATTCAAGCCTGTCATTTTTCAGATATTTCGAAATTAACGACATATCTTCAGACTCAGTCAGAGTTTTATGGTACTTTTGCCTGCATCCGGCTTTTAATTCCAAATGGGCTAATATTTACGCTTTCTTAAGTGTTTCGTTGAATTCTCTGTACATTGCGTTAGCAATTAAAGGGATATTGCTTTCCTACAACCAAAACATATTTTTGACGTCGGAATATTTACAAACTTGTATTCTATGCACGCATGTATGTATATATGCACTAGAACATAAACATTTAAAAAGACATCCAATTTTAGATAATGGGTAGTGCATTAAATATACACATTCGAAGACAGAACTTACTTAAATTGCTTGAACAAAAATCGAGGTTTTGGAAAATTGGAACAACTGATAAAAAATCATTGCGTCTACAAAGTTTGAAAAGATTTCACTTCGTCAAGAAAATCATACGCTGTTACTATTTACTTTCGTTCCTTTCTTTGGTATTATTTGATTTGCAGCCTTTTACCGCGGGTGTATTGCCTGTAGTATGCTATGTACCAAAAGGATGGTTCTATTATTTATTGTTTCCAATGTGGTACATATCAACAATTGCTTTTGCTTCCACGATAGGAACAACTTGCCTTTTTTGTTCGCTTGTAACTTCTCTAATTGAACAGTTTCAACTGCTGGCACAAGGATTTAGGGATATGTGCAACAACAGTCGTGATAATATTTGGAAAGAGCTAAAGGCTTTGGTCGATCATAACAACTTTTTATTAAGGTGTGTAAAACATTCCAAGTTATGTAAAGTTTATAACAAATCAAGTTTTTTTTTTCAGTTATTGCGAAGAACTGAATGTGGCATTTAGAAGTATATTTTTACTTCTTTTTCTAATTACAATAGTGTCTGCATCTGTGGCTATTTTCATTTTTATGCAACCGTAAGTTTACGCTTTTAACTTCTTCACTTTTAAATTTAGATAAGCAATTTCACAGGGGACCCTTGGTTAATAGAGCCAAATGCATGGTCCATTTTGTTGTTGCCATTATTGAAATAGGATTTTATTGTGTCCCACTGGAAATCCTCATCACCACTGTAAGTGTATGTAAACTCGGGATGTGTTCTTACTTTTGGCCTATTCAACCAAATTTGCATTAAAAAAAAATATTTAGACCATAAGTAGTAGAAGAAACTGTATATATATAAAACATGACTCCCTCTTTGGTTTTATATATTTTCAGGTATAAGACGACTGCTTCACTATTTTACATGTTTTTTAGGCTCTTAAAATAGATAGTATTCTCTACGATTCAAAATGGTACGAAATAGAAATGATCCCTTTCAAGAAATGTTTAACACTTATTACAAGTAGAGCTCAAAAACTTATGGTGTTCAGTGGCCATGGACTGGTTAACATGAATCTTAATACTTATGTTTTAGTAAGGCTTTATCAAAATGTTTCAAGTTATTTAATGCCTTTTTCTAGATTTGTAAAACTGTTTTCAGCTTTTACACATACTTAAACTCATTTCAGCAACCGTAAGCGAGATAATCATAGTTCTTATGGATAATACAGCTGATTTAAAATTTTTAAACGTGTTAAGTGCGTCTAGTTTAGTTAAACTTCTTGTAAATTAAGGTAATTCTTACAGACGATTCTACGACAACTGGTCGCAAACAATTGATCGCGCGACAATTGATCGCAAGCAACTCGTCGCAGCACAATTGGTCGCACGCGACAATTGGTCGCGGCGACAATTGGTCGCGGCGACAATTGGTCGCGGCGACAATTGATCGCAGCGACAATTGATTGCACGTAAATTGATCGCAGCGACAATAGATCGTACGTAAATTTATCACAGCGTCAATTGATCGCAAGGTAAAATTCATCGGGAAATATTTTCTTTTATTAAAACTAAATATTTTGTATTCTGAATTTTAAGTTGCAATAAATTTAGCAACCAGGTAAGGTGTAAATATCGAATTAAAAACAATTTGAATATAGATAAGTGACGAAGTTTGTAGTTGCACTTTAAAAATTAAAAAATACGAGCGTAAACACTTTGTTACATAAGATTTTTTATTAATAAATTGTCATTTTGGTTATTTTTGACGTGACAACGTCTTATAATTCGATTGAGCCGGCTGCACGCACGAAAAAACATGACTCATGCGGCGTTACCTCGCTCTGAGGCGTTCCATGTGACTCATGCGGCGTTACCTCGCTCTGAGGCGTTCCATGTAAGGCTTGAAGTGCAAGCGAGAAAATCTAACTTGATCAATTTCATTGTGATTTCTAATTACCTCCTTCTCTATATACATACAAATCTATTAAACAAATGAAATTAAAATTTTCTTTTGAAAAATGCTACCATTCCATCAGTATTTTCTTAAGACGTTGTCACGTTCAACTATCGTCAGTAAACCGACTTTACAGACAACCGATTTTTTTTTTTTTAAGAGATTGTTTCTATTTATCTCGTTGCTTATTTTACCTATTATATTATAGGAACTAGCTTCATTATAATAAGTACTCAACATAAAAACAAGTGTTTATTGTTCTTAGCTAGATTACAGTTATTTAAAAAATCATATTTTTAACAACCTTTAAATTTTAACACATTTTGATACAGAATTGCCTCTATTGTCTATTCTTGTCTTTATACATATCACCAAACAATAAAATTTATGAACTTATAGTACATCTAGATTCTAGAGTATCCATATGCAGCGAATATAAATTCCACTGGATGGATATATAATACTTATTTTAATCCCTTGTAAATTGCAACGGATCTTTTACAGGGTTTGAGAAAGGTTTACGTGTATTGTAAATATATATTGCAGAAACTTTTGTTAGAGCGTCAAGAATAATTTTGTGTTACCGGGAAATCTAAGAAATGTAGGTACTTATGCAACTAAAAACTTATTTTTTAATTATTATTATGTGACTAGTATTGTACTGAAGAAAAATTCAGTTGTACCATATGTGGGTGTAAAAAATACATATACAGGGTTAGTCACGAGAAAATTATTTCTGAAAATTATTTTTACGCAACCCAAAATACGAATACCATGTACCACTTGATACTAACAGAATTTAAAATGAAATGCTTAATTCATGATTGCTTTGAGTTTGGCAATGTCATTTTGACAATTCTGGAAAAGGAGGTTACGCGAGTGTCCATGGTGGTACCGCAGCCAATTGGAGATCTCCGCTGGCGCCGCTAATAAGTTTGTCAGGGCTTGCTTCGAGTGCCTCTTGATCTTTTGCAACCGATTAATGACGAGAAAATTATTTCTAAAAATTCCTTTTACGATAGATATTTCTGTGACGTGTAAAACAGCTCTCAGATCTAAAAAAAGGAAGAAATAATTGGTTCGCAGTTTTCCATGAATGACCCTACTACGGGCTGCTACCTGATTTTATTCTTCTCCGCACTTTGCATCCTACAAAAATTTACAACATGGGCTGGAGAAGCCCACCTACATCCGGCAGATTAGGCAAATAATTCTGAGTGAATAGTCGGCCTTCGGAGTGAAAACTTTTCAAACTTCCCAAGCTAAACATTAGTCACGCCATTGCGAGTAACCACTACTCAGTGGCGTCGTCATCCTGGTTGTTTGTACTTTTTAACGGTATTCACTGTTTGTATTACTTGTTACTCGTGATGTGTTGATTGATTTAAATATTTTAAATAATATTAATTAATAGAGAATATAAAACTGTTATGTGCGTTGTTTTATTCAATAAATTTTATTCCATGAGCCGCATCAAAAAAAAAAAAAAAACTGTACGTCACTGTCATCGGCAGTCTTATCTGGGTAATGAGGGGTACTGTTTATGACACTTTACCGGTTTGGCTCGAAACCATCATTTTAAGTCTGGCACTTCCTCCAGTATGAGTATATTCCTTTGCTCCATGGTCAAAACTAATCTTTTTACGATCTTGTTTACAGAAATGGCGTAAAAGTGGAGATTGGTATGTAGGTACTTAGCAAAGGGAACGAGATAAATTATTCATTCTGTCGTATCTACAAGCGCCTTATTAACAGTGTGAGCGTTCACAAAAGTTCTGAATGAAAAAACATCTTTGGTTTTATCATGGATTAAAGATAATCCAGAACTAATTTGTAGTGAGCAAAAAATTGTCTGCAAAGAATGCAATAAACTCCAAAATTAATTGTTAATATATAAATTCAAATTTCTTTGCACCAAATTTATTAAAAAATATAGGTATATATTTAATTTTTTAAACTATCAAACGTAATGAAAATAATACTTTTTCACTTAAAACTGTAACGAGAGTTTTTTCACGATTTATATATAACTTTTTAATTTGACAGTTGTAATAATTTTAAAACCATTTTTTATTAAAGAAAAATGACGTCTAACACGTTTTGAAAGCTATTTTTTTTACTCGTTTAATTGACAAACTTTAAACTTGTGAGAAGAAAAGCTTGAATCACTTACTTGAGCGTCTAATCAATAAGACGAATAATCCAAATGAACATTACAGTAGCATACCGACGAGATGTGTCAGCATTAAAAAAAATATTTTACAATATTTTCACTTTTTTGCACTTTGGTTTACTCGGAAATGAGCCTAATAGTTACCGTTTTTATGGAACTCGTATGTATTTATTTTGACACTTTTTTTAGAAATAATGAAATTTTTGAGAATATAGCACATTAATTTATTTTCCTCATTCATAACAATTACTTATTTCTCTATAAACGCTATCATTTTTCGCCTGCGATCAATTGTCCCATGCGACCAGTTGTACTTGCGACGAATTGTGTTGCGATCAATTGTGACTGCGACCAGTTGTCGTTGCGACCAGTTGTCGCTGCGACCAATTGACGCTGCGATCAGTTGTTTGCGATCAATTGTCGCGCGACGAATTGTGCACGACGAATTGACGCGGTACCCTTACAGATATGTACACATAATATAGCACATCTGTTTTCACGAATATATCATACATAATAATTGAAAGATGTTGTGCTTTTATTTTATATTTTTGTATTTTGAATTAAATAAGAACTTTATCAACGCCTTGTTTTTTTAAACAAACTGAAGCTACAGCCAGTGTCGTATTGAGGACATGAGAGTCCACCGGGAAATTTACAAAGTGGGGCCCTGGGGTATTCTATACAGATGTGGGTATTACTACTATTATTATTTTCAATTTTGCCGGCGACATTGACGTTTTGAAAAAATTATGTTGTTCTTGGAATTTTGATGACGCTACCTAGGAAAACAAAGCCAGTACTAAAGTCCGACAAATTCCGCTTCTTTAAAAAGTTATAAAATTAGATTTTGCGGATTTTTGTTTTGTGATAACCTCTATAACATGGGGTAATTAACATCCCCGCAACTTCTGCGCCCTTAGATATGAAATATATTTCAAGAATGTGAACAACGGGAAAAAATGGAGAGATTCTCAATTTCTCAGTATGTGCTTAACTTCGACTGTTTATTTTTATACTTCGACGAATTCGACTTTTACCATTTTCAGACTACAATCATCAAAGGTTAAAAGAAAATGAAATTTGGTTGATTTTGTGTCCTCAACGCTAAGGAAACAACCTAAAACGTTTGGAATATTTCAGTCTTTCAGTACGCTTTTGCCAATTTTAAAATTAAACCGTAACATATATACAATTTTGATTTTTTTTCCAAAAATCTCCATGTCTATCATATAAAATTAAATATATATAATACCAAAAAAGGGGCTAATTAACAGTAAATATAATGGTACATTCACCCGATATTTTGTTTTTACTTCCCGAGCGTAAGCAAAGGAAGTATTGTAATCGAGTCCGTCGGCCGACTCTCTACTTTTACGTTTTCTCGATCTTTCATGACCCCTAGAAGACGAAGAAATAGGTCTCCCATTTCCGTCTGTCTGTCCGTCCGTCTGTCCGTCCGTCTGTCCGTCCGTCTGTCCGTCCGTCTGTCCGTCCGTCTGTCCGTCCGTCTGTCCGTCCGTCTGTCCGTCTGTTGTCCCGGATTTTATTAGACAGATAATCTCCGAAAGTACTCGACCGATTGTTGTGAAATTTTGTACTTATATTAAGAATATCATGTAGATGGTAAAACGCTAACCAAAATTTGTTTAATCATCCCCACCACTAATGCGATGACGTCACTTCAAAATTGTACATAGTAAATGGGTTTTCAATTGTATAAAATAACATAGTCCTACACATGTAGTTTACAACTCTGAATCGACTTTTCACCCGAAACGTCCAGATTTTTGGAAAAAAAATCAAAATTATAAAACAACATTTTGAAATTTAATTTTTAATCTGCTAACCAGAATGCTTTGAAATGTTGCAGATGTTTTAAGGCTATAAAGAGCATCATAAATCTTTAGTCAAAAAATATTTGCTTATCCCCTCCAAAAACTTGATGACGTCAACTCAAAAGTTTGCCGAATAAATCGTATCTAAAATGTACAAAATATGATGAGTCTGTACTTGTGATCTATCACTCCATTCATATTTTTTGGATCTGAATGTACAGGGTGACTCAAAAAAATTAATGAATGCGTAAATTTATTTTATTGATTTACTCAGGAACTACAAAACCGAATTCTTTGAAATCCACTGCGAAAAAAAAACATAATAGGCATACAGTC